GAGAATTTCTCATCAAAGGCCTGTTACTAGTCTATTGAGTTTTGGAGACTTTCAACTGAAGTTATGCTTTGTGTTCTAAAAATACATGTTTATTCATGTCTTGAGTGTCTTTCACATAATGATCTTACTAGGCTGTTAATAAGATTTTTAAGTGAAAAACACAAGCCAGTGAACTAAAGAGTTATTATTTTGACTGTTACATCTGATAAAAGTATAAATTCTCAGGGAGGGGAGCCAGTTTGTGCAATTTACTATACCCAGTATTTGCAAAGTTTGTGGATGTTAACTGTGATAAGCAGTTATTGGTTTTATTCTACAGAAATAATGCTTCTATCTTACACACCCAGGTTCAAACTATCTAAACCAAATTATGAATCCCTGTGAATTAAATGAAGGTATGTTATTGAAATACTATGACACTTTTGAATATGGCTTTCTGCTTATCTAGAACCTGTGATTCAGAAGAATTCTTGGGTTGGACCAAGTGCAAACGATGATCATTCCTATGCAGTAAAGAACACTTCTCTTCTTGAAAGAAGCTTTTGCAAGGAACTATACCTTGAAGATATACAGACTGATGAAGACAAATTAAACAGCAGCCTTTTATCATCAGAGTCTACTTTCATGCCAGTTGCTTCAGGATTGTCACCAGTGACTCCTGCTTCAGACCTGAAGCTAGATGGAATCAATCTGGGCTTAGAAGATGATGGTAATACAGTGATTGCATGTGTGAAGGATGTTAATAGCAGAGAAACAACTAACAAGCAAGAAGCTTCATGTGTTACAAGAGAGCACTCTAACAGAGCGATGGGAAGAGTGGAAACTCAAGAGAATATCAAAGAGAGTATTCTGTTGCCTTCTAATCCAGTAACAGGTAGCCTGACTGCTAATACTAGCAACTGTTCAGCATCCTCTGGAGACCAGGTTCTACACAGTCACCCCAGCACCTCAGTAGGTGCTGAACCAAGAGTTACAGCTCTCTGTCCTGACCAGATGACAGGAAAAAGTTCTGATGCATTAGCTGGTGTTGATCAAAGTGCAGCTGAACTGCAAAGAATGACTAAAGCAGCTACCAAGCTTCAGGCCTGCTGGAGAGGATTTTACACAAGGAACTATCATCTCCAAGCCAAGGAAGTGCGCTCTGAAATTCGACTAAACAGAATGCAGGAGCACATCATTTGCTTAACTGATGAAATAGAAAAGTAAGTTGAGGTCATGATGTGTATTTTCAAATCTGAATGGATATAACCAGTGTTCTAGGGTATTTCGGAACAGGTATAAACGTGTCTTGATATAACTACTCACAGTAGAACCTAGCATTAGTAATATAAAACTGTGATTACAGTAGAGGATTGCTTCCTGTAAGAAAAGCGCAGTTATGCACATAGCTGTTCATATTCTCAAAATGCCTTCTATGAGTGGGTTGGGTTAGAATGCATTTTTTTCTATTCCTCTATTAGTAGGCCTTGCATGTTTCACTGCATAACCAAAATAGAAATTGCTAAGTGTGACTTTTTTTTCTCCCAACTTGTCTCCTAGCAATTACAGTCTATAAATGAAGCGTCCGTATTGAGAGTCATTGCTCTGTTACTGCTGAAAAGAATTTTCTTTGCCTTGCATGATACAATTTTAAAATGTGATTCTATGCTTGGTTCTGGTTTTGTGGTTTGTTTTGTTGGGGTTTGTTTGTTTGTTTTGTGTGGGGGTTTTATTTTTTTGTTTTGTTATGTTGTTTTTTTTTTCCTGTGAAACCACATTTGGAAGAGGTCATTATCAAAGTTCCTCGATTTGTAAGACCTAGATTGCAGATTTGGTTAATATATTTCTGGATTAGCCCAGAAACTGACAGTCTGACAGGCTCATTTTCTTTACTATCACAAGCCACAAAAGTTCTGTGAATCAGATTGAGCCTGTGAACTTCTAGAAACTCTCAATGCTTACACATCATACCTATATCCAAGTGGTATCATTTAGGGAACATAATTTGAACTGAAGGAGCACTACTTTTTTTTTTTTTTTTTTGCTGGGAGTGGGGGAGTTGTGCAGGAAAAAATGAAGAGCTCTGGTTCAGTTTATAAAAATACACCTGAAGTATTGGCATGTTGATAAATGTGCTGCAGCAAAAGGAAGCAGAATCTCAGCATAACTCTGAAAAAGAAACTTGAAGTCAGCAGCTGGATATTGATGACAAGACAGACTGCAGTAATGCCTAAATGTTAGGCTCTGTTGTATCTTTCAAAAGTGCAGCTATGTAAGTAGGCATTTTTATGTATTCTTGTTTATCTTGTTGCTGAAATGTTGCTTATTTAAGCTGCATAAATTTGAATGTGTATTCTTGCAGACTGAGAAAAGAGAAAGAGGAAGACAAGATACAGAGGCTTGTGCAGGAGGAAGCTGTCAGATTTCTTTGGAACCAGGTAGAGAGTTTTAGTCCTCTAATTTTTCTGCTTACATAAGAATTTGGAAAGCATTATTTTATACTGTAGATGATGAAGAGATAGGCAATGTGGTTCATTTTTTCCAGTGATAACTTTGGTGGCTTATTGGAATGTACTTGCTGTGTTGTTTGCTATATTGGTGTTCTTGAGGAAAATAACATTCGGCAGTATTAGTGTTGGAACACTGGTTTTGTTACAGAAGGCTAAATTATAGCCTTGTGCGAGGAGGAGGACAAAATGCAAGGGAAGCTAAACAAATGTAGCAGAAGTGTGAAGAATGCTGTGACTGCTAGATGCCTAAGGCAAATGAAATGGTGTCAAGCTATGTTGCTTATGAGCAACTCATTTCTAAAGTAGAAAGGTTATTTATGCATCTTCTAATATGCTATTATTTCAAATATAAGACTATTTTCTTAAGCATGGTTTTTATCATTAAGGTTCCCCATCCTTTCTGTTTTTAAGAGCAATCTACTTTTTCTTCAGGTTCTTGAAATGGGGGGCTTTTGTGCTTTGTCAATGTTGGGCATCTAGGGTTAAAAGTCATTTTTTTTTTAACAGTGGGAAGACCTTGTAGCAACCTTCCAGTATTTGAAGGGGCCTACAAGGATGCTGGAGAGGGATTCTTCATTAGGAGCTGTAGTGATAGGACATGGGGCAATGGGTTTAAACTTAAACAGGGGACATTTAGGTTAGATATAAGGAAGAAGCTCTTTACTGTGACAGTGGTGAGGTACTGGAACAGGTTGCGCAAAGACATGGTGCAAGCTCCATCCCTGGAGTGTTCAAGGCCAGGTTGGACAGAGCCTTGGGTGACACGGTCTAGGGTGAGGCGTCCCTGCCTCTGGCAGGGGGGGTTGGAACTAGGTGATCTTAAGGTCCTTTCCAACCCAAACCACTGATTCTATATTTTTCACTGAAGTGAAAATATAGTTCACTTGGTCTTAAATCTTATACTACTTTGTTGCTGATTGCAAGAAATACTTTAAAAATCAAAGTACTTAGTTGTATTTCATAATGAAATTCTTTCTCTACTTTACAGGTTAAATCCCTTCAACAATGGCAGCTTTCAGTGACACAAAATTTAGGTGCCACTTGGCAACCTGGGATCCCATCAGCCCGTACTTTCTGTCCCTCTGAACCATCTATTCAATCATCCACGCTTCAGCAAGAAACCCCAGCAAATGTTAGTTCTGCTTGGTTAGTTCCAGCTGATGACGTTCTTCAAGAAAAGTCTTTTTTGCAGTTCCCAGATTCTGGTTTTCATTCTTCTGCAGCTGATCAGGCTCATACTGGTGACTTGTGTAGCTCTGAAAAGAGTTTAACAGAAGGGACTGAGAGCTCTCTTTCAGTGGACACAGTTAAACAGTGTGGCAATTCTGTTTCAGCATATTCTTCAGATACAGAGGATGGCCATGGGGAATGTAGGCAAAGTAAAGAGAGCTCTACTGGTGAACAGGACAACAGACTAATACAAGAGTATTTGAAATCTGTTCAGCAGCTGGAAGAGGCTGAGGAAGAGACAAATTGCAATGATGAAACAGAGGGTAGATGGCTACAAATCACTGTTCCAGCAGAAAGCCAAGATTCTTCATCTGACACTGTCTTTACAGATCTCCCTCAAGATACATCTTCTCCTGTCCAAGCTGAAATCAGTCAGACACCAGACAGCTGCAAACTGAATTCAGGAATAGTAGAAGGGAAGCAAACGGACTGCGATTCTTCATTTCAGATGCTGCATGTTGGAATAGCTGTATAATGGGCTCAGTTTCACAAAGGACTAGGGATTCCATTTCACTTTCCTTTTTTTTTCCCATTTGTACAAAACTTACTTTTTGTGTGCTGTTTCAGATTTTGCTTCATGTTGTTAATTTATGTTTTAGTTAGTATTTTATTAATGTTGCTGAGGACTGACACTTACTATGCTAACCTGAAATCAGCAAAGTTCTCAGTGAGAAAATAAAGTTTTGCACTTTATTTTCAAACATAAAACTAATATCCTAATAACTGGCTTCCATTAAATTAATTCTGAAGGTTGGAGGTGGGGGTAGTGTTTCCTGTAAATTCACCTCAGTGAATGTGTTGAATTTTTTCTGAAGTACAGGACTGAGTGCTTACTGTGCTAAGAGAAGGAAACAAAATGGGAAGAAACAGAGTCAGTGGAGTCAATATAGGCACTGTGTGTGTGTATGGATACAACCTGATGATAAAGATGAAAGTAGTTGCCTTTCAGACTTTTTTTGACTTTAGCAAGAGTAGTTTGGTCAGTGTTTCAAAGATTCATTCCATGAAACCAGTGTCCATGTCAGTGACTTCTTTTTGTCACTTAGTTGAAACTGCTAGCTAGGAATTAGGTCATCTACATACATACTAAAACAAGGACTACAGGAGGTAAGACCTTGGGGATGTTTGCCCTGAGGTTGAATTTCCCTGCTTTCTCAGGTAAGACTCAAAGTGGAACTAGTAGCAGCTTTTACTATTTAGTAAAAGTATTTATTATTTCAAAAGGGCATATGATTTGAGAACATCATATCCTGCTGGGATATGAGAACATCCATATGCACTGCTGGGTTACAGTAGCAGAATTGGTGACATATGTTTTGCTTCCACAAGGATGTTAATGTCATTGTGGGATTTGGATCTGCATGGCTTTCAGGACACTATTGTGTTTGATGGATCACAACTACTTCTACCTGCAAGTATAAATATGGCAAATACCATGGCTTAAATCTATTTCTTGACATCTATGTCGAGTTTTCTGTTTGTTATTTTTCTCTGTGTTTCTGTTATTTGATATTGTAATTAGATGTGATTAAAAAGTTGCGTTTCTTCCCTGTTGGCAAATGTGCTAAATTACCTAGATTATGCTTTTCATTTAAACAGTGGGCAAAGCAATAGGGTTTGTACCTTGCCTAGCCATTGCTATCTTGGTTTCAGGGTTTTTTTTTAATGGAAAAAGATCAGGTATCTCGGTGTACTGCAAAAGTGTCAAGGGAAATCTGTTTTGCCATGTAATTTGTGATAGACACTAGTAAAATAAGAGGTGATGTTGTGACTTCTAGGGGTCAGTTCAGTTTGCTAATACTGCACTTTGCAATGTGTACTGGAAGGCCAGTGTTTCAGTAGTTTGCTAATGCTTGCTTCTTTGATATAAAGGCACGTACATATTCTAATTCTCTGAATCCACAGGTTAACTTCTGGTGCTATGGTGTAATTAAAATAAATAGTGCTGTTTTCAAGTGACTTTTATGGCCATGATACTATGTAAAGTAACTTAATTTTTGTAAAAGCTTTGGTTGCTTGTCTATTTTAGGTTCTGAGCTGAAATTTACCACTACTCAGGAGTTTGGCTTAAGGCCTCAAAATAGCCTTTATTTAGAATATAAATAATGTATTGGACTTGTACCAACTGTCTGACAAGTGGTGAAGTTCACCTTGGAAGAATAAAGCTTGCCTTTGTATATAGAGTAGCCATCGTCTCTTTTTCCCCACCCCCAAAAAAGTAAGGTCTAGAGCACTGACTTCCCTGAAGAGCTGTTGCTGCAGTCAAGCTAACATTCAACTGTACCTTGCGTAAGTGTTTAAGAAAAACAAACAGCTGAGCTGTTAGGTTCTTAATGTGCTAACTCAGTCTAGCTACAGCATGTTTGTAACATAACCATATACATAATTAGATCTTAGAACATCAGTGTGCATGTGTATTTAAAGTTATACAGGTGCATTAATGTATTGCAACATCTAAATAACTGTTCAAAGAAGCATGTAGTCTACATGATCATACCCTTGTCCTCTGAAGGTTCTCAGCTTGTATTTTAATCTGCCATGCTTGGAGATGCCTGCAGTTCTTAGGAATTGCCTCAAAAAAAATCTCATGTAAACTTTAAGGAGACTTTCTTTTGGGTTTTGAAAGAGAAATTGTTTCTGTCTGTGAAACAGGCCTCTTTGTGGCAGTGGTCAGGTGTAATAAACCAGTAAGTTTTTTTGTGGCATAGTGCTGTATTAGCACATGCAGGACTTGGCAGAAACTAGACCACTGGCTGGATAAAAATGTTTCACTTACTGAGGGACCATGTATATTTTGCTATTTTGTATTATTGTCACTTCTGCTGGAGAATTCTCCAGAGGAGACACAACTTTAATTTTGGAGATGTCTAAGGGGGAAAACTTGGTAAAACTCAATTTTTTATGGAAGCCCTAGATGTTTCTTGATATTTCCTCTTTTGTTAAGGGTGTGCATACACAAACACAAGGTGACTTATTTTAACTGATGACAAAGTCAACTGTTGGCTTTTTTTAACTTGTAGCCGGCATATCCAAAAGCGATTTTTATGAAGGTACAGCAAAATGTGTACAAACATATAATCAGCTTTATCATACACCTTTGGGGAAGCTGTGCAATATGATTTTCTGATGTTCTGAAACCTTGAATATATAGAAGATGAGTTGCCAAAATATACAGAAATCACAAAGAATTATGAAGTTTGGTAGTAGTTTTTACAGGTTTACATGTAATTAGTTTGTATATACGCAAAACATTTTCATCCTGACCATTAAAATACATTCAGGGAAAGATATAATGGGGGATAGCGTGGAAGAATAAGGAATCAAACTGGATGGGTATTTAAAAATGGCTTCCCCTCCCCCCCCCCCCCCAGTCTGTTTTGAGCTCTCAAATCATGATATGGAAATGTCATAGTTTAATATATGGCTTAACACTTATTCTTCATTGTCCGTTCAAGTTTTCTTAATCTATGTATATAATATTCTTTTACCTGGATAGGGATGCCCAGCTCCCTTTGGAGATGATGGAAATTTCATAAAGGAATTAGAAGACCTATCATATGAAAATCCATGTCTGAATTTTTCCTCTTTTAATAATCGTATGTCTTTCAGCATTTTCCTTTTGCAAGGCTTCATATTCATCAGAAGACTGTACTTTGCAGAAGGAAAGCTTGTCTGTTGTATTTTTGTCCAGGGTTGATGCAAGAGATTTCTAACGGTTATTTCTCAAGCAGCGTTGTCAGCTCTGCTGTGAGTACAGTTCAAGCACTTCTTTAATTCTCTTCAGAAAAATTGGCTAAATATAGCTCAGATTAACTATTTAAACTGTGCCGCTCAAATAGTTTTGCCCCAGATGAGGTGGTTGGCACATGCAAACCTTTTTCAGCTAGTCTATGGCAGAAATTACTTTTGCTTTATTTCCTAAAGGTAAGGACCTGGAGGAAGGTGGAAATGCATTTATGTGTTTTCAGGTTTAGTCTGTGATGGTAATACCAGCTGCTTTATGATTGCTATTCCAGTTTTCTCCCAATTATTTTTATAGTTTATACATTTTAGTCTTTCGTGTAATGAAGAATGCATTTTTTTCTACTGCATGCAATATAAATATTTGATAGATGCTTTTCTAGATGATATTCGGAAAGGTAGAAGAATATCATGAAAGCAGGCCTGTTCACATTTTGTATTTCACGTTTACTTTAAGGTACTTTGTTTATATTATCTCCTCTGTGTTAGGTAACTTCATTACAAAAGAATACCACAGAGCAATGCCTTATTAACAACAGCAAGTAAACTTCTCTTTCTGCCTCTTCCATGAGCTGAGCTTAATGGTCACAACTGGTTATAGTACCAAAATATGTCATTTAAATGAATGGGAAATTTAAATTCTGAATGAAAGCAGCAACTGTGATGCGGTGTTTGTGTTTTGGTGGGGTTGGTTTGGTTTTTTTTTTTGTTGGATTTTGTTTTGGTGGTGGGTGTTTTGGGTTTCGTTTTGTGACTATTCCTGTGTGGTGCTATTTTATAAGCAAGGAGTGTGTGGCAAGGATGGAATTTTTGAAAGGGACTGAATATTGCCCTAGCTCTGCTTTCATTCCCTTAAAAGAAGTAGGGTCCTGCTTGAGTCTTTGTGAACTGGCTGTCTAAACTGGGGTTTTATCATATTTACATCTCCAGAAGAAATTTCTTGCTAGAAAGCAAGAAGACATTAAGACTGAAAAATTCATATTGTTGCTTCTAAAACACAAATATCTTTCAGCAAATACTTGAGGAATTCCTTGTTAGAATAAACTGCAGAAGCCTAACTGTTTATAGTCAAGTTCCTTAAACAACCGTAGATTCTACTGATTGTATGCAGCAATTTAAATAATATGCTTAGCAGCCAGTCTGCACGTATATAAAAAAACAAGTTTGGGGTTTTTTCCTGAATAATGTTTGTATCTCATTGTACCTGCTTGCAAGTTGGTCCTGGCTTTTATGAAGTCGTATATATTGTCTCAAGAACTCCAATCTTAAATTTCTATTTGTATCTTCAATTTTTGTTCATCAAACATATTGCTACATTCCTTTGAGACTACGTGGCTACTTTTTAACTGGACTTGAAGTTACAACGCATCTCTCACAGATACACTTTTTCCTGAGAGGATAGTTCAGGAGCGTGTTTGAATGACAATATGATGTAAAAAAACCTGCTCAGTTCACCTGCTTTTAGGTAGTGGGAGAGAGGCTCTTTCCTGTTCTATTAATTTTTTTTTATTTTTTTTTCTTGAGGACTGTGTCAACCAAATAAATAAGAATGAAGTATTCATGAAGTCTTTTTTTCATAGTTACAGGTTGGGGTTTTTTTCCCAGTTTGGCTTTCTAGGACAAGAGAAAACACTTGCTTTCTATACGCCTGCCAGAAAGTTGGGGCTTTCTGTCTATTTTTAAGTGCTTTCTTTATGTCAGTAATGGAAAAAGCACAGAATCCTTTACTTGCAAAAGCGTAAAATAGCGTTTATCAGGAAGGGTGCTTTATCTCCTAGTAAGTGCCACACTCGCAATAAGAAACTACCTTTCTGGCTTCATTACATGTACAAGTATGTGGGACAAATTCACTTGTAGCATAATTCTACTGAACTAGATTTTGTCGAGTCTTTCACAGTAGTGTTCTACCTCTAAACTAGAATCTGAAAAATGATTAGGTGTTGATTTCTCTTTCTACTTCTCACTATTTTCTGTGAAGAATGGTGGATAGTTAAATTGGTATAGTTGGTATATTTTCTGTAAGTGTTTACATTTCTGGATTTGTTTCTTAAATATTTTGTTTGTACCTCTGAGTTTTGAAATTTAAATAAATTATTTGTATGTTTATTGAAATTAACTTGTGCTTTGGCCTGACTCTTACAGCTAATAATGTCTTGCAATTGGAGGGCTCTTTTAGAGATAGAAAGTTTAGAAATACAAACCAGTGATGACAAGGTAAGCATTAGCATTCCTCACTTTTTACAGTTTTTTACAGCTTAATGGCCCACTGTTTCAGTGTTGAAGACAGTAAAAGTGTGGAAGAATACTTGAAATTTATACCCAAATTGATCAGTAGAAAATACCACCAAAACTGATATTCGTGATTTGCAGTCCTTTGTTTATGTCAGTGGCCCTATCTTCCATGTTCTTAATTCCCTACTGTGTTTAAATTAAAAGATGTGGCAGTATTCTGTACAGAGCTTTCTAGAAATAGGATTAAGGCTGTGGGCTTATCAAAGGAAATATAATCGCAAAGCATGTTTTTCCCTCTTCTTCTATTTTGGTTTGGTCAGATACCTGATGTGTGTTTAAATGAAGATTAATTGAATGTATTTCAGCTTTAACAAACAGTCCAGCAACTCGGGCATTCTAGGAAAGTTGAGGGTTACTGCAGGACAGTAATCCCAAAGTTGAAAAAAACCCAACCCAAAACCAAAAATCCCAAACAAACAACACCTCCCCCCCTCAAAAAAAAAAACAAAAAACAAAAAACCAAACAACCCCCCCAAAAACCCCAAAACTTTGTTTTGTTTAACTTTTACTTGACACAGGGAGGTTAGTGGTAGTTTTAACTCTACTATGTTTCCACTTCATTATGCCAAAGAAGTTAGCTAGGGTTAGTGAGACTCTTCTTGCTCTTCTGTGGAGATATTTGAAAGACGGAAATAGGCATAGCTAAAGTGTCTTCAGGACTTAAAAGACTAATCTTGGAGTAAAGCCATTAAAGCTGTACTGTTAGGTTTAAATGCTGTAGTTTTTTAGGATTAGTAACCATGACACTTCAGGAGATCAGGTTGAAGGTCCCTCTTGTCCCTGTTTCCAATCCATGCTTGTAATAAGATCAGACATTAAAATCTTTAGTTAGAGTTGGAAGATAAAGGGATACACCTAGTGGACAGACCCACTTTTGTTCAAATGGAATTAGTTATTTTTAAATTTATGGGGTGAAATCCTTACATATGTTAGGAGCTGAGTTTCTCTTTTGACTGGTTGAAAACCTCCTTTTAATTCTGTATAAGAGTATAGAACCATAGAATAGTTAGGGTTGGAAAGGACCTTAAGATCATCTAGTTCCATCCCCCCCGCCATGGGCAGGGACACCACACACTAAACCGTATTACCCAAGGCTCTGTCAAACCTGGCCTTGAACATCGCCAGGGATGCAGCATTCACAACTTCCTTCGGCAACTGATTCCAGTGCCTCAACACCCTTACAGTAAAGAACTTCTTCCTTATAACCAATCTAAACTTCCCCTGTTCAAGTTTTAACCTGTTACCCCTTGTCCTATCACTACAGTCCCTAATGAAGAGTCCCTCCCCAGCATCCTTATAGGCCCCCTTCAGATACTGGAAGGCTGCTATGAGGTCTCCATGCAGCCTTCTCTTCTCCAGGCTGAACAGACACAACTTTCTCAGCCTATCTTCATACGGGAGGTGCTCCAGCCCCTTGATCATCCTTGTGGCCCTTCTCTGGACTTGTTCCAACACTTCCATCTCCTTTTTATGTTGAGACCACCAGAACTGCACACAATACTCCCAGTGAGGTCTCACAAAAGCAGAGTAGAAGGTCAGGATCTCTTTCGACCTGCTGGTCACACTCCTTTTGATGCAGCCCAGGATATGTTTGGCTTTTGGGGCTGTGGGCACACACTGAAGCTGGCTCATGTTCATTTCCTCATCAACCAACACCCCTAAGTCCTTTGTGATAGTCTTATCATAACTTGTGGATCTGGAAAGGTGTATATGGCTGTCGCAAGTCTTGTAATCCAGCATGCTCTCTGGTCTGGGAGCATCAAGACCAATGGAGTGAACATGCCTCCCTGCATAATTGTGCCTGTTGTCCGAGTGGGGACTGCTTCAGGATTTCTCAGAGGATGCTTTCGTGCACAGCCTAGGTTGTTTCTGTTAAAATTTGTGAATGTGAGAGATTTGCAACTGCTCCAGTCTATCCCATTTTTCCTTGCCAAGATCCTGTTTACCTGATGTCCTGATTTAATCCCAGCTGGTAACTAAGTACTGCACAGCTGCTGCTTACTTTGCCCTGGTGGGACAAGAGAATTGGAAAAGTAAAAGTGAGAAAACTTATGGGTTGAGATCAGGACAGCTTAATAAGTAAAGCAAAACAAGGAATCCACTCCCAACTTCCTATCTGTAGGCGAGGCTTCAGCCATCTTCACAAAAGCAAGGCTCAATCATGCATAACAGGAAACAAACACCATTACACCACATGTCCCCCCTTCCTTCTTCCTCTCCCAGCTCTACATGCTGAGCGTGACACCATATGGTCTGGAATATCCCTTGGATCAGCTGGGGTCAGCTATCCCAGCTGTGTCCCCTCCTGACTCCTTGTGCACTCCCAGCCACTTGCTAGTGGGCTGAGAGGCAGAAAAAGCCTTGGCTCTGTGCAAGCACTGCTCAGCAGTAATGAAAACATCCCTGTGTTACTAACGTTGTTTTCCAAAACACAGCCGCATACTAGTTACTATGATGAAAATTAACCCAAGCCAAAACCAGCTCAGCTGCTCTTTCTCATAATGTGCAAGACATCAGTAACAAAGGAAAAAATAGAGGAAAATTGTGTTCAGGATGCCCAAATGAAACCAGTTATAACCTCTAACTTCCAACACTCTGGAATTTGTCTGTGAAAACTGAGAAGCCCATGATCATGTAGGATGCCCTGGAAAATGTAAAATATGTGGCACATTGTGTTGAAACTGTTCATGTGTTGAGCTGAAAGCAATAATCCATTACAAAAGCCTAAAAATTCTCAATGTAGGGTTGTGAGGAACAGCCTAGCAGCCAGGGCTGTTTCGTTAGCATTCTGCTGAACTGCATTCAAGCAGCAGACTTTGCGATGTCTCTTCCTGACCATTTTTATTACACCAGCTGAAGTTCTCCAGTCCCTTGAAAACTTGCAGCGTGTTTCCTGGTGTGGGAAATCTGTGGAAAATAAGCTGAGGGGATTACCAATGCTTGTATGTATAGAGGTTGTGGGACCTGAGAAGAAATAGGACATACTGAGAAATCCTACAGCTTGAACTCTCTTTTCTTCCTTCCATCATTAGCTCCTACAGCCCCTTCAACTTAAAATTAAAGGCAAATGCACTTGCTATTAGTAGAACTTGTGTTTTCAAGAACCACTCCACAGCTGTCCTGTAGTGCTGAGCTACCTGGGGTAGACTTCATTTACTTGTCCTCTCTTCATTGTGGCTTGCTTGTTCCCAATTTCAATACTACTTCTGCAGCATGTTGGCTGCCCTTTTGGTCTTTTATTCTCTGGCTTTACTCACAGATACTGAGAGTCTCAAGCACATGGAGTAGCTATTCTTTTGCTAGCAGGTGACCTTTCTCACCTGCTTTCTCATATTCATAATTGCCTGTTCCATTCCCTTCTATGGTGTGGCAATGTCCTTTTATTTGGTCTTTTATTGTTCTGCTTATACAGACAGATGGCTTTTAATTCTTGACTGACACTGGTGCCTATTGGACTTCTGTTTTCCATCTCTATCAAGTAATCACCAGTGTAATGTGGGGAAGAGGAGGAAAATAGAAGCAAGACCACTTAACTTGTTCAAAATAGGCTGATGGGGATGAGGGCAGGAGAGTAAGCATTTCATATTTTTAATGGCTAAAATATTGTGTTCACAGGACTATTTCAGCTGCTCTGTCTCTGTTGCTGATTTTAAGCAAGTCAAGTATTTCTTGCTAAAACTAACAGAGTCTTTAACCTGTACACATGAAAACAACTGCTAGCAGGTGAAAGTTTTGGAAAGAGGCATTCCCAAACTTACATGGCAAATCCAGTTGCAGGTGACCTGTTATCACATTGAAGGTACCCCTCAGCTCTGGTGCAGCATGCTAAATCCAATGCTGACTACATGCAGCTCTTTGAGCATTTTGAAGCCCTGCTTCTAAGGCAGCTGGCTTTGCCTAACACTGCTGTTGTGTACCTGTCTCCCTTGCTCGGCTCCTGCAGCTGGCCTGTGGGCCAGCCTCTTCCTCCTTTATAACCTTCTCTCTGTTCCACGCCCGCTTCCTCTCATATTCACTTCAGGCTCAGCAGCTTGTGATCCATGTTCCTGTCAGAGCCTTCTCTCTTGACTGGGGGTGCAGGTGCAGAGTATCATGATGCCACCTGCACTCTGTAGCAGCCTCCCCGCATCCTGGTTTCTTTGGCTTCACCCACTGTCACTCAAAACATTACAGGGACTTTTATTTCTCTTTTTTATCATTAACTAGTGCCCTCCCAGCGATGAGTGTGTGCTGTTTTAAGGTTTTCCTTCCTCACACGATCACTGTTTTCAGCGCAGTTGAGCATCGCCAGTGCTGCAGAACTCCGCCAGGACCAGGTCCAGGTTCAGGTTCAATCGAGTTTCCCCTGCCGGTGCCGGGTCTCTCGGCCGCGGCCTGCGCTCTGCCCACAGGCCGGGGCGGCAGCCTGGGCGAGGCGGTGGCCGTTAGGGGCGGTGGTTGGCAGGGCGGGACCGGGGGGCGGTGCGATGGCGGCAGCCGTTGGTGTCGGGGGTGGGGCTGCAGGCGGGGCAGCAGGGCCGATGGGTACAAGGCCCGTCTCCTCCGCGCCGGGGGAGCAGCTGCTGTTTGGCCCGGGGGACCGGCTGGGGCTGCGGTGAGGGGGCGTGGGGGGCTGGCGGCTGGCCGGGGAAGCGGCGCTGTGGAGGAGCAGTAGCGGAGCGGGGGTGTCGCAGGGAGGCCCAGGGGCCTCGGCTGCGGGTACCCGGCTGAGGTGAGGGTTTGGGGGTTGACGGGTGTCCGCTAGGATCCCCGTTCCCCGCGGTTGGGCCCGCCCTCACCGGCGCGCTTGCGGGCATTGCTCGGGCTTTCTGTCGGGGGCGGCTGGAGGTGCTTCCTGACCGTGCAGGGGCCGCCGGCCGAGGGATGCAAGTCGCTGTGGCAGCCAGAGGCCGGCTGGTCCTGGGGCGTGTGCCCGGGCTGCTGCGCGGGGCTGCCCAGCTGAAGCCGAGGTGTGCCGTGGAAGCAAGAGCGTAAGTGCCTCCGAGGCAGTAAAGTACACCTTTACCATTTACATCGCTGGCGGCAGTGCTTCCTGCTGGCTGTTTTTTGTCTTCTTCCCTTCATCCCTTACTTGCGGACGAGGACCCAGGCAGTGCTCACACTTCGGTGTGGAGCAGCCTTGTTTTCCTGGAGCAGAGCAGCTGCCTGGAGCTGCCGCAAAGCCTGAACTCTGGCAAGCGACCGGCGCTGACTTCTGAATATCAGCCCCACTCTCTGGGGAGCAAGGCTGAATTGGGAGAAGCAGGGTCGTGAACCCGGTTTTTCTGTGGCTGTGTCTAGCCTAGAAACCTTGTGCCTCAGAGAAATGGGCTCGGCGTCTCCAGTTAGCTGCTTGTATGCCTTAGCGATTTGCGTGACAGCTCTTTGAAGTAGTTGCACTGATACGTGCTTTTGGAATGCTGCTGGCTTAGAGAAGTACCGAGATAAAGAACTGATAAGACTTAACGACTTAGAGAAAAATCCCAACCCCCCAAAAACAGTCCTGAGTATGAGAGAACTTGAATACTGTTCATAAAAATGTCACTGAGCTGGTTTCTGTTTTTAACCTTAGGCAAAAATGTGGTATGTAATAACAGAACATAGCTGAGAGGGGTAATGCTTAGTAATTAATAGAAGAAAACTCAAAGGTATAGGACTGAATTTAAAAGAAATTAAAATACTTAACACCCCATCCACCCCACCACCAGGTTAGCACAGAAATAAAACTAATTTTATGATTAAGGAGTCTTAACTGTTATGTTATATTTTGTTACTGCAAGTAAACCATCAATATGTGTGATTTCATTAAATATTTGTGTGTGTGCATATATATATTTATATATCTATGTATGATTTTCCCCCAGTATTGTTTCCAAGGTTATTTTTGACCTTTTTTTGTGGATAGCTTCAGAGGATCTCCAAGAATAGGGTAAGAATCTAAGGCTTTTTTGGTGTACTTGCATGCTTCCATTATGTGAAAAATGAACTAGATCAATAATTCAGGGATGATGAAACTGGAAGTATGTTAAGGCCTTTAGTATAAAGAAAGCTCTAAACCTGTACATTTGAATATTTTAAAACATGTGATGTTTACAGAAATACAGAAATTTTTGAGCAAGAACTTTTGAACAAAAATACGTGGTATTAGTTTCTGTGGCCCATTTAGGTCTGTGAAATTGCATTCCATTGATTTTCAGTGTCTTGTGCTTTTCAGTGATATTCAGATAATTCTCAGCAAATTGGAAATCTAATTTTTCTCTAGTGTATTTGCTTCTGTTCCTCAGATGGTCATCTATGTCCTTAAATTATGATTTTAATGTATTTAGATATATTCATTAGCAGTTATGATTTAAAACCTGAGTTGGTATTTTATACAAATTTAATACTTTATATTAGCACAGAGCTGTTTCTACAATGAAAGTTTGTTGCATTTTATCAGTTTGATGCTTTTACTTTAATGGATGTCTTGCTTTTTCAAAACTTGTTCATCAGTCAGAAATACAATCTCTAATTCTCAGCAAAGTATTTGAAATTATAATCCCTATAATCCCTGTAAAGCAATTTGATGTGGGATCTATTTTGAGACTGTCCTTGTTATACCAGTAATATATTTCAGTTTTCTATCTTTCATTCAAATTCATTAAATAATGAATGATTTTGTTAGCTAATTTTGATATTTAATGTATCATTACATTGATGATACATGTATCATTACATTTTGATATTTAATGTATCATTACTTCAAGGCCAGGTTGGACAGAGCCCTGGTGAGGTGTCCCTGCCCATGGCAGAGGGGTTGGAACTTGATGATCTTAAGGTCCTTTCCAACCCTAACCACTCTATGATTCTATGATTACTTTTAATTTAATTTTACACAACTTTCTTCATATAGTCTTAATAAATAGTATAACTTTTTGGTTATACTACTTATAGAAAATTATAAAAAATATTTAATAATTTGTTTATACTCAATGATCTTAAGGTCCTTTCCAACCCTAATCATTTTGTGATTCTATGTTGTTACACTTGGTGGATGGTTGTATGAGTAACACTGCTTTGTTAATATTAGGTTTGAAGTGATTGATATCTTTTGACTGTTTCTTCTTGCCATCTGTTGTCTGTTTCCAAGTTTAGAGCTTTTTCTTCTGCAAGAACAGCATCCTTTTTGCTTGTAAAATGACTGCCTCAGAATTGTCTTTTCTAGAAAAGAAGGAAGATCTGAGTCAAACTGAACAAGTAATAAGCTGCAAGAACTCCTTTTCAGCAGTTAAGTCTGTGATTTTATAATAGATAGCTACTGGGCAGCCTCAAGGAATATATTTCATGAAAGTTAAATTTCATTGAAAGTATGACTACTATTATATTGCATTAAAAAAAAATACAAACAAAAGAAACAAACCCCAGCACCTTGAGTTTTTCACAGAAGTTTACTTTTTTACCATTAGAGCTACATTGAAGTACATGATGTAGAAGGGATGACTAAAAAAAACCCAAACAAATCAACAAACCAAACCAACCAAATCAACAAACCAAACCAACCAACAGGGAGGGTGTAGTTTAATATTATAGAAATTTTTGAGTTTTAATGCATTCAACTCCAATACTCTTGTTTAACTAATAGGTGAAAAATATCTTTTGTCTATCCAGACTTGCTTCAGACCTTAATCTTTAAGAACAACTTATTGGAACCTCTAGTCAGGTAAATGGTCCAAACCCACAAGTCTTGGTCTTGTGATGGCTGATGGTGGTTGTGTGGCCTAACAGGTAAACAGGGTGGTTGTTGTTTCTTTAGGTTTTTTGGTTGCCAGAAAGAAATCTTGCACTCTTCTTTTGCTTTTTTGGTGAAACTGGCTTTATGAGGTTTTTGCCTCGACATGCCCAAGAGAATTAAGTAACATAATCACAGAATCAACTAGGTTGGAAAAGACCTTTAAGTTCATCAAGTCCAGCTGTTACCCCAGTATTGCCAGTACCACCACTAAACCATGTCACTAGGGGCCTCTTCTATATTGTTTTTGAACACTTCCAGGGATGGGGATTCCACCACTTCCCTGGGAAGATTTTCCAACTCCTGGTCACCCTTTTGGTGAAGAAATACTTCCTAATATCCAGTCTAAACCTCCCCTGATGCAGCTTGAGGCCATTACCTCTTCTCCTGTTACCTGGGAGAAGAGACCAGCTACCTCTTCGCTCCAGACAGTACTGTTCAGAATAATGCCACAAAAATCTGTCTTAACAGTTTTATTATATCCATTGTTGCTGTGCACAGTTCTGCTATTTATATGCTTTCAGTGTCAAACTTCTATTAATATTTTGGGGCTTAATATAATTTTTGTAAATGCATTTGCAGGAATGAAGCAGAAGTCACCTGCATTCTCTTGTGCACTACTGAGACGAAATGACATTCATGTTTGCTGTGAATGGAAGTCATGGCAGCACCTAACATGGGAGGGAGAGGCATGAGTGGACAATGTGGCGTGACTCGTTCAGATTGCAGATCTTCTGCCTGCTTATGGCAGTACTGGCTATTGTGGTGCTGGTCCACAATTTTTTTCAGTTAGAGGTAAGTGGAGCCTGTTTACCCTCCAAGAGGGCTTGAGCAACATTATTCCTCTGAGTATAAGGTCAGAGTTGTGACTGATGGCATTTAGATATCACTTCCTGTGATCCCAAGTGGTATCTGGACTTATTTAATCCAACAACCCTCTCAAAGGGCTAATTCGATTAGTTAGCTTGGATTGAGCAGGGTATTGCTGAGTTGTGTTTGACAGTCTTCAAGGGTGGTCAGGTTTCACAACCTGCCTAGGCAGCCTGTTGCAGTGCTGCACCTTTCTCATGGTGGATAATGCTTCTCTTACGTGCAGGTGAAAGTTGTCTCTTGTCCTTTTAGTGTGTCTGATCCCAGTTCCTCTGTAACTTCCCTTTAGGTAGTGAAACACTGCAGTTAGATCACCTCTTGGTCTTCTCCAGACTTTAAAACAAACCAAACAAAAAAGTCTGGTTCCCTTTCTGTCATGTACTCCAGTTCCCTAATCATCTCGGGGCTTCTTAGCCAGGCTCACCAGTTTGACTGTGGTATAGGGGTGTCCAAAAACTGTATCCTAGGTATAGCTTCGTCAAGGCCAAGTTGAGGGAAATTATAACTTTGCTTGATCATCTAGTTATGCTTTTGTTAATTCACTGCTACAATACTATGCTGTTGACACATGATCAGTTTGCTGTCCACTGGAATCCCTAGGTCTTTTTCTGCAGAGCTGTTAGCTAGCTAGTTGATTTTCAGTTTATGCTGATGCAACTTCTCTTTGCCTTTTTCTTTTTCCCTTTGCTGTGTTTGACTTGCATGTTTACTTATTTTACTTACCCCTTTAGTGCAGTGGTACTTTCAAACTCCATAATGAGTAACCCTAGACTAAAGTCAGGACAGACTAAATCACCAAGACTCTGTTCTAGGGAACCTTGAAGGCTGACCCTGCCCATTGGCTGCCTGCTTGGCCAGACTATTCAGTGCAGCATTTGGTGGGTGAGCATAATAATGCTCAGCCTGACACCTTGTTAAATTATAGCTATCTGTTATGTGTGTTAGCCAATCAATAATTGCTTTATGTTTTGGTTGTGGTTGGTTTGTTTTTATTTTTTTTATGCCAAGGTGGGTTTTTTTGGGGTTTTTTTTGTTTTTTTCCTGGCTAGTGATGCCCAAATGAAATGATCCAAATGAGGGGCTATAAAATCTCCTCTCAACCCCCAAAAAGATAAAGCTGAATTGGAAGAGGTAAAGATAAGGGCAAGGAAAATGTCAGAGTAGTCAAAAATCACAACTGACACAGGATCAATAACTAAAGAATGAATGTTTGTTTCGTATTCCAGTACTAGTGAAGGCATTAAATAAAAAAATGCAGATGCTGAATTCAAATGAAGCAGGGGTGGGTTTTTTTTTATGGATTGCATCAAAGCTGCAGAAATCCTTGCAGTAAGACTGTAGCTGCTAAATGCATATATTAAAAAACCTGCATGAATTCACAGAAGATAAAATCATTAGTGGATCTTAAAGATGTCAACTCTAGTTTTTAAGACATCTGTAAGTGGCAGAAACAGGAAGAAATATGACAGCATGTTTGGCCTGTATTCTTTTCTCACATATCTGCTGTTGGAAACTACTGGAAATCAAAATACTGTGTTTGATGGACTTTTCTTTTGAGTTAGCATGATTATTTTTGTGTAACACAGAAGGTAGATTTTCTTTTGTTATCTCTTTCTGTGTTTTTTGGTCTTATTCTCCCCCACCCTCACCTCCAGGATATTACATGCAGAACATTGTTGGTATTTTTGCATCTTAGACTATTTTTTTTTTTTAAAAAAAAACCTTACATTTCTTAGGAAAAGGGCTGTTGCAGAGCTTTGAGAGTGAAATTAAATATGCAGTATGGGTGTTCACCCACTAGTCATGATAAGTATCCACATGGCTTTGATCTTTACACATCTCACATTCCAAACTTAGTTAAGAATTGTGTTACAGGTAAATCTTTTTGGTGTAACGTGCAACTCTAACCCCTTTTGTTGTCTTGACTTTTCTGAATGGATCCACTCTGGTATTTGTCTGTGTCTTTGGCACAGCTTTCCAGGCAGTCTAGTATAGCTGTCTGTGCTGATTCTTTTCAGCATAGGGATCAAAGCCTTTTCCAGTTTAGAATGTTTTCACAGAATATCTGTAGCTGAATCTGTTCAGGCTCTGGAAGGAGGGCATATTGTTGAAAATGTATTTGTAAATGCATCAGACATGCTTCTCATCCCCAAATCATCTAATCTAGCTGGCTGAGCTAAAGGCACTTATCAGGTAGCTCCCAGCTAGCCTCGTTTTTTCTCTTTAGGATTTTACACTTTTTCTTGTTGTAATCTTCACTCTTGAATTCTTAAGCTACTAATGATACTCTCTCAACAGTCCTACCCATGTCAGAATTTTACTTTTCTTACCTTGTATTTAAAAAAAAACACAAAAAAACAAACCAACAAGCTGTCCACAAAACATCTGCTAGCCTGCTTACTGTTTAATTCAGTTTTTAGTATGGAGTAACTCCTCCCATGAGGTCCACGGCTGACCACTGCGTTATAGTACCAGAAGAAATGTTTTGGGTGGGGTTTTTTTGCAAACACAGCTAGACGGATAAAATGTTCAACAGTTTAATTTTCCACGAAGTATCAGGTTTGTTGCTGAGGAGCAACATCATACCTGTATGATACAGGAGAGTTTGTATAGTTGTACCAATTGCCTTTAGAGTGACAGAACCACTTCAGGGCTGGTTGTGAGCATTTTTATTTAAGAGCACTTATTAAAGAGAGCATATGGGGAGAGAGGCAGTTTCTTGTGTGATAACTATGTAACAAAATTTTTTATTCTTCCTGCTAAATTGCAGGTGCCTACAGAAGGTAACTGCATCATCTTATTTGCATTATTGCTGGAACATTGTCTGGTGATGGCTTTAGGATTTGCTTTGACATTTAGAGTGACTTGGCACCCACTCAGTGCTTTGAGACAGTAAAGACAGTGAACTGATCTCATGCCTTCTGTAGGCAACAAATATAAAGTACCTGGAGTGTAAAATTAGACAGTAAGATGACTGACTTTTCAGTAATTGCTATTTGTTCAGTTTCATTATTTGTCTGCTGCATAAACTCAGCCTGTCTATTGGGCAAACTGGTACTTCTCCTTCCGGGATGCCTGTCATGTGGGGCTCTCTTGTGGCTTTTTCTGCTCTAATATTGGTGACATGCCGGTTTACAGCAATTGTTCTAAATGTACCAGACCATGCTAAGGGTTACAGCTGGTAGAAGATACTGGCTTTAAGATGGAGTTCTACCTTTTTAGCAATTGAAATATTTAATTTTTTATCAGCCACCAACATAATCACATTTAACTGAGGACAAGTGTACAATTATGGGTCTAACCAAGTACCCTGTGACCCTTCTAGAATATATTTAAGAGCATAATTGCCTGGGTGGGTCTATATGTTATATCTCATTTTTGCTTAGTTGGAAGTGAGAATGCTAAAAGTTGAGTAATTGACCTGAAACATTTATTAGTTCTCCTGAAAATACATCTATTTTTCCCCTCTTTTTTATGACATCTTTTCTGCACCAGGAACAGCTTATGGGATTTATTTATGCTTAATTGCCATGTAGTCCATTCTGTTCTGCCTGTGTTACTTGGCATAAATCCATGAAATCACTTTGTGGTTGTATTTGTTTTCTGGTTAACTTCAAAATGCAGCAAATAAAAAAAGTACAGAAAAAAAACCAAACAAAAAATTACAAAGGAACAAATGGAAAACTGTCAAGCAAGCACAACAAACAAATTCTTTTGAATTTCACTAAAAATCAAGACACCATAACTGGAGTATATATGGAAATAAGCAAAACAGGGCAAATGTTATTCAATTTGGAGACTGTATTAAAAACCGAAAGCATCTATGTCATAAAAGAAGAGGGCTTTTGGGAAATCTTGAGGAAGTGCTCTTCGTCCGCCCTACTTAAAGGAATTTTATTTTGTTGGAGTAGAGAGCTTGCAGTTCTGCATGGGCTCTGCCACAGAAAATACATGGACTCGGAGATCAATATGATCAGACAAAAGCCGTTTATTACAAAGCCTTAACCCCTTAAATACTATTTCTTACATGCACTTCCAGTGATTTGGCATATTATGATTGGATACATGTCTTGAAGACCCTTTGCAACTAGCATATAATTGGTTAAGCACAGGTGTGGGAACTTGACCTCGAAAGCTTGCCAACAGTCCGCAGTTCTCATTACCTCAGTGAATTCTAGCTTCTTCTTATCTTGCTTGCTTAAGCTTCCTTGGGCCTCTCACGGCCTTGCTGTATCTTTCAGGATTATTCGGAGTTTATGTACCAATTATCCATTCTCCCGTGAGAACACTGTCTCCACATCTCCCCCTTTTTGTTTTATATACGTTTTGGGTGACTCTACTTGAGCAGGGGATTTGGGCTAGATCACATCTCCAGCATATGCCAACTACAGGCTGCTGGGCCTGCCCCTTTTTTCTCCTGTATGGTTCCCTGACAACAGGGGAGGCCATCCCTCACATCAAGGTCTGGCATGGCTTGTGTCCCCACCGCTCCATGCCTGCTGGGTTGCAGCCAACAGCGGAGCTAAAGGTTCTTCTTGGTGGCAAACACAGAGGCCAACCCAGTCTTGCCCTTGGCTGTGGTAGCAGGCATTTTGTCAGCCTCAGTCCTTGCGCCTTGTTGTCAATGCAGAGTTTCACCTGCTTCATCCAGTAACAAGTCGCTACTACAGCAAGGCACCCACAAATTTACATTAGCAGAGTAACTATTACAGGGTGCAGCAGCAGTTGAAGATGCTGATGGCAGCGAGGGACTAGTGGAAGAAATTTCTTACCAGTGGAATTCTCCCCCCCTCTTAATTTGTTCCATCACCTGCTTTATAACACTACCATTGTATTAAAATCTTTCTATCTTTTGCCTTAGCATTTTCTAGCAGCTACTGCAAATTTCCATATGCTAACATTTCTTTTACAGGTGACGAATCTAT